TTATACCATCGTCATGTGCGGTGTAATAAAATTTAATATGTATATAATATATCCAGCGTACAAAGCCGCATAATAATATATTAAAATATAACGTATAATATTATGCAAAAAATACTCCGTAATTAAATCGGCGCGTATTGCAAGTAGACCCGGATCTGTCGGGAGCGAACCGAGCGCGTATCGCGCGAATGATACTATGACATACGATGTACAGTAAGAAATACAATATTTTCATACGTACATAATATGTCGTATAAAATATTAATGATATTATAATGATAAATCTGAAACGTGAAAATCATATAAGAGAAAATAATAATAAAGAAGAAAACCGCAAGACTTTAGGTGGGAGTAGCTAGGTGTATACAACATAAGTTCATATTATTATATATACAATAATAATTTTATAATCCAGACGTGTATACCCGGAGAGTATTCCGCCGGGGAGTGTCGAGTCAGCATGGGGCCCCCAGTCGCGTTAGTACTACACGACGGGCGTAGTAAATATTATATACCTCCTAGGCCCATGGTTGTCGTCGTAAATTAATATTACAATAATTATTGTTACTATCATCATGTGACGTACATATTATATACATTACACATAAACACGACGACGCTATATTCGTTCACCAAATATAGGTACCTGACAGCGACCGACACGCCGAATAAAAATCGTACAAAACGGAGACGAATAATAATGATAATAAAAAATCATGTATAGATAATACGTATATTGCACAGCTACAGTCAACAATCATTGTGTAATTACATTTAATTTAACACGATATATATTTTATTTATGTATAGTTCGGCTTTTAAAACAGTAAAATATTAAACACGCTTTATCTCAACTTAATTGTCAAAGTAGTGTTTGGGACGGGCGGCGAAGTTAAATGGACATTTTTTGAGAAATTTTAACTTACATTTAAAATACAAACTATACACTGATATTATGCGCTGCATATTTACATTTTTGTATACAACACAAACGCGACAGTTACGGTGTATCATTAATGTATCATGTAACAGACTAAGGTTTCTTTTCGCACATACCACTCCTATGTACTCATATATGTATAATGTATATAATATGTGTATAAACATATAATAGATCATCACACGACTTACGCACGTTTTTTCTTCCGGCCCGGAACCGGAACGTGACCAAAAACATAACACTTGATTCAAAGACTACATGAAGTGATTTTTTATAAATATATATATTATATACATATATTTATCGTGACCCATTACCGAGCTTTTATTCGGTACTTAGAAATACTCATCGCGATATAGTACACTAACATTTACTATAATTAAATTATTTATTCGAAATACTTTGAATACCTATTGTATAATACACATATGCACCACCTTGTCTGCATACATCTCGGCATACATAAATAATAGTTTATAGTTGTAAGAAGTTACAAATCTGTGGAGGTTTGTCAAATCTAAAACCAAAATGTTTGAATTACTCTAGGGCTCAAAACAGGTAATGTTTTGATTGCATTCGATTTAACCATTTCGCAAAAAAAAATAAACATTAATTTAAATTTGAAATTACATGTGCATCACTAATTAGAATAATAAACAAATTTTTTTATTACTTTGAAATTAATAACTATTAATTAATTTTAAAAATAACTCATTCTTATAGTGCCATATCAGTGCAAATCGACCTCAAGGCTGGACGCAACAGTTATAAATGATCATAGCAGAGCAATAATTGCAGCTCTGTAAACGTACCCACAATTTATAAAACTATCACCTCGATACCGAGTCCCGGTAAGGACAGGCGTACCTATTATATGTTTATTAATTTTTTTTTTATTTTTTTTTTTTTTACTTGTGTCCTTAAAGATACCCTAGCCTGCTATACACTTCGAAACGAATCTGTTCGAAAAAAAAGGTTGTCTATAAAATATATTAAGTCGTTCGTATAAATTGGTTAAAATTGCCTATATAAATTACCATCACCGCCGATTTTTCGGCGTCGCTATACGTACCGTACACTTAAACAAGACATAATATATTATAATGCCTATTGCTTAGTCACAAGCGAACGCTATCCTCCCCGTTGAAACCGTACGCGATATTTTTCCTTCCTCTCGGCGAGACGTTTATTACCGCGCTCCAATTATTTTTACACCGGCGAATAATAATAACTCGTGTATTAAAGCGGAGCGATTACGCTCGTGTGCGCATAAATGTTGTTAATAGCAATAATAATATATAATAACATTATAGGTAGGTATTATGATTATAATATACACCGAAAGTACGGCGCACCACATTCCGACGCGTAAAAAACCAGATCATCCTCCCGCCGCTCCTCCCACACCAGCATAGAATATATACACATTTCTTACGCGATACACATACATATCATTATAATATACACCCACCACCACCTCCACTGACGCGTATTATAATCACATCGCATGCGGTTCCACGCTGCACGCACCTGGTTCGGACAGACCGCGGTATATTACATTATGCGCGTTATGTATACATATATACCAGCCATATAGGTGTACCTACTTATAATACACCGCGATCGAGACTTGTTATGCACTGCAGCCACCGCAGCTTAGACGGTTGCGGTGAGCGTCTACGGGTTCTCTCCGATAATAATTAATACTCGTTCCGAGTCTTTTATGCGTATATTGTGTATGTTGTATTATGTTCGTCGTTATTTCGTGTTAGCGTGCGGAATACGTAATGAGAGTATACCGACGAAGAATAATGTAATCTCTACTCGTATATGGACCCGTGAGCGGCGCGCACGATAAAAATGTATACTCGGCGAATGACTTGTACGGCTTTTCGAGTTTTCAGTGCGTATAATATAATATGGCATAGGTTACCCGACCTGTACACAGTATACGCGACGACCGAGGTTGTCATTATTGAGCAATAATAGACGGAAATCTCGAAAGAAAAAAACAGGAATTTCGGAAAACGTTTGCCTTATAGTATACGTCTTGATTTACGATTATAATATTATGTATTGCGGTATGAGAGGGTTTTCGATATAGAATTATTTGCACATAAGTTTCGACGTAGTAAGACTTTTTTGTTGACATCCACAGTAAATACAATGTCGCTCGCATTGGTTAACATGGTATAGGTACACACAAGACGCGTCCACGTCGAATATTTTCCACGTCAGATAAATAAATATTTTTCAATACGACGTAAGTCGCGAGTGTAGTCTGTTTAAAACGGGAATCATTACTCTCGGCGAACGACGCCTTAACTTTGGTCGTCGATACTGAATATTACACACCGAATGTTCAACGCTCATAAAGTAGGTGAGGGAGCTAAACCGAACGCATACAACAACAATCGGCTTGGACGAAGAACGAAAAATTGCCATTTTTTTTCCAACTATACATCATTATTCTTATTACACCGAACCTTCTATTTCGGTCGACGCCATCGGCCCATATATGCATGCACGCAACACATACGCCGGGCCCGTTACTACATTTCTTAATTAACACACGGACCGGTTTTCGTGTTTTTTTTTTTTTTACGTGCAGAGAATCACCGAGTTAAATTATTTGTCACCGCATCGCGGTGGTCGGTTTTGTTATCATAGCTATACGTATACCAGCTAGGCCGCGTGCTGCCACCGCCGTCGAGACGCGTTCGTTCTCGGGCGAAATCGCACACGATCATAACGCATAAAAAAAAAAAAATAATCACGACAACTCGAGATTCTATACATATACCTACAGGTACGAATGGAATTTCTGAAACAAAAAAAAAATCCGATCGGATACATATCTCGGAGTACATTTTATCCGTGATCGTGTTTTATATTTAAACGACGCTAAACCGTATCGTGCACTTATTCCGATAGTGCGTTCTTTATTGTTGGTGGGAGTTGGAAGGGAGGGGGTTAACTGAGCTAGGGTGCATGTTTTCAAACACTAGAGCGTAAAAGGAGAATGTTCGGGGTAGGCGCAACTCCTGACATTTCGGTACCCGTATATTTTAAAACTGAGCCTCGAAATCAGAGCTGAAATCCATATTTTGTTTTATGTGCATTATTCTTATAGGTACGTTTAATAAATAAAATACCTAACGTACATTTTTCAAAAATAATAATATGCGAAATATTTAAAAGGATTATGTTCTGAGACATTTTCCGTTTACATATATATGTATAACTTTTAGTGCATAGATGAAAATGTATTCTGCATATTTCTAATTATTAACGCTTAAGCATGACTTTTTTTTTCAAATATTCTAATTAGTTAAATGTATATCATTTATAATTTATAAATTTTGGACTATCTGGCAATCAGAATTACTAATTCGCTTCTGGTTTATTTTAACACTATAATTATCAAGAACGAGTTTTCAATTAATAAAAATATTGACAATAAAGTAAACACGTACGTTGCATATTATTGCAATGCGATATTTTTCTTTAAACACAGCAACAAGCAATACATAATATAGCATATAATATAATTATATGAATAAAAGGACAAACGTCGTTTTTCTTGACGAAAAAGAATTTTAAATATTTTTTTTATACGGTTCATTATTTTTTCATTTCCAGCGTGAAAGAGAGCGCAAGCGTTTTAAACTTTTTTAGTTAGTCCATTGATTACCGCTGTATGGCCTGTATGCAATTCTGCTAATGATAATTAGCAGTTAAGTGAACCCTTGCAACGTCATAAGTGCTTTATTATGACCCGACCGTGCGTCAATACTTAATTTAACATGTGTATAGCACACGAATAGGTGGTATACTAATCACGTAGTATGATCCAGAGAAAAAATATATATTATCTAAACTACAAATTCGTCTGCCGCGTCAATTACTACATTTATAAATGATAGTGAAAAATGATCCGAAAACATATTATATACTACCTACTATAATATAAAGCGTGGAAACGTTTAGGATATCTGAGACGTTAAACGTACACAGCAAGACCGTAATAAAAATAATACGATTTAAAATAGGTATTTACTTGTGATCGCGCAAATGGTCCTGTCTCCGGAACGCTTTTTTGCAAATGTCGCACGAGTACGGCCTCTCGTCCGTGTGTGTCCGTTCGTGTATCAACAGGTTGTAGCTCTTGGTGAACTGCCGGTTGCAGAATCGGCAAATGAACTGCTTTTTGGGACGGGATGCCCGGCCGATGCCACCCGCGCCGGTGCCCACAGCCGAGGCCCGCGGTCGGGCGGCCACTGAGCCGAACGGCCCGGGGCCGGCACCCGCGGCCGGACCACCGAACAGCGACGAGTGCGGCTGGCCGCCGTACTGGCCGGCCGGGTTCAGCAGGAACGGGTGAGCGTAGCCCCGCTGGTGCATGACCGCCTGCAACACTTTGTTCTTGTCCAGTGCCATGGCCATCAGTTCGTTCTGCTGCTGCTGGTGGAGCAGCGAAACCGCGGCCGCGGCCGCGGCAGCCGCGTTGGCCGACGGCGACTGTTGCTGTTGCTGTTGCTGCTGCTGTTGCTGTTGCTGTTGCTGTGATTTGTGCTTGGGCACGTACATGCCCGGCGACGGCTGTTGCTGCTGCTGCTGGAGCGACGACAGGTGGTGGTGCTGGTGCAGGGCCTTGTGCTTGTCGGCCATCATGGACGCGGCGAAAAAGTCGGCCGACGACGGCGACGGCTGTTGTAGCGACGCGATCGACGGGTGCCCGTAGAACGATCCGCTGGACGGCATGACCGGCACGAACGCCGATCCCACGCCCGGCTTCACGCCCTCACCGCCGACAGAAGCCGACTTTCCGCCACTGCTTCCGCTCGACATTATGTTAATCGTCTGAAACACACGCCGCACGTAAGTCGCATTGTTCTCTGCAAGCACATACATATTATTATTATTATTATTATTATTATACATAGGAGATAGACTAGGAAGGTACTATAGGTTATTATAATATGTATTAAATATTTTATTGTCGACTAAACGCGCGCGACAAATGCTTCTATTTAGGATATTTATATTTTTCGTCGTTTGTCACCATTATTATTATTATTATTATCGTTATATATTGTGCGTCCGTTACGTGAACAAGTCAGACGACGAAACCAGACCGACTGCTATTCACAATATATTGTAATAAACAATGGACGGGTAATTCGTAAGACGTTTTCGTTTGGAGCGGCGAGGACGATGAAGGAGAGATCGACTAACGTTTTTAAAACCGGCACCTATATAAGATGAAATACAGGGCGATTCACCAAACATGCACATTGCACATCCCCATTTTTTATTCATTCAACACTTCAGTTATTCAAAATCTCAATATCTGGAACGTTTAAATGTACTTCAAGACTATATATTAAGATTATTGAGATATTTAGCACAATTTCATATTAAGAAGTACTCTGCTGTAGTGATACAAACTTCGGATTTTCAAATGATGACTTCACCCTTTTTTCACTGTAAACTAGTGGATACTTTTCAAATTTTGATTTTGATACGTCAACATTTTTAAATATTTCCGCTAAATAGTTTACAATAAAAAGAAGGGATCTCATTGGAAAAATAGAAGTCTTTATACACTCCGTAAGTAGTACAAAAAATCTCGAGACTTTGAATAAAAACATGATTGAAAACGGTATACTTGATAAATATACGTAAATAATCGTCTACTTAGCAGTTTTTGAGTTAATGATTCTGCTGTTTATAATTGTTATTATATATATATATGTATGTGTGTGTGATATACATTAGATATAAAGAAAAAATCATCTATTTACTTTTAAATTAAGACTGTACGCACAGAAAAGGAATTAAAGGGACTAAGACTTAATATGTGATACGTCTATTTATTAACATTTTTTTGTTTATTTATTTATACTATTTCAAAATGATAATATTTTAACGACAAGCAGTTGTGACGAATTTGATACATATAACATATAAATATTTGTGTTGTGCATCTCTGAATCCCTCGAATTATAAACTAATAAATTATAGGTTACGATAAAAATATTGTGCAAAGAATACACTAGACCTGAGACCTCTATACAGTATACAAGTATACTCTTATTAATAAAATAATTTTATTATATTTTAAGGTATCTTGGCCTATATATTATACGCATCAAACGTGTCCATATTATGCAGCAAAAACGAAACCTATGGTAAAGTTCTTTTATTTATTTTTTATCTGAAATCACAAATCTAAAAGAATGCGAGTTCCGACGATCCGACTACGCGGCATTTAAATACAATAGGCATGTATAAATCACGCGAGATAATACAGAAATGCGAATGGAAAAAACAGCATTTTTTCAACCGTCTACCAAACTCAGTATGTAATAAAAAAATTTTAAAAAAACGTTTGACGATCGCGTTTCATTCGAATAAACGCGTAGGTTTATACGTTAAACCACGTCAGTTTATTACATAATCCTAGTCTGGTAAAGATTAAGTAAACGTATATCGTTATCACCGAGACCGCCGCTTCAATTATTGCACGCGCTGGATTTTATGTCGATGATCATTGATTACGAATAACATACGCATATATATATATATATATATATATATATATTTATTATTTTATTATTAAAAAAACGTGTAACAACGAGCACACAGTAGTCGCGCGTATACAGATCTATTGCGATGATAATTTATGCGCGATTAAAATTATCGTAGTCAAAAACTCGTTTCCGACTGCAGAAGGCTAAAAATACTTTAAGTTAAATATAAAAACAATAGTAATAATTTATCGATTTCTAGTATTTCTACATATTATGTAAATTTAAAGAGAACTTTCATACATAGAGTCGATTCATAAACGTTTGATAAAAATAGTACCTGGATAATACAATAATTAATGATATAAAAATATCACATTCTTTATCAAAGATCGTCGACATTTTTAATTTCACAGCAATTTATTATAAAAATAAAATTATTAAAATATATTAATTTTCAATACATTTTTTTATTATTATTCATTACTTTAATTTACCCTTCTATGATTAAATGTCAAATGAAATAACTGACAAGAGAGTACGAAAATTACTTATAAGGTTTACAGAACGGATATCCATAAATTTAATCGAAATAATGAAAACTACAAAACCATGACGTTGATACTCGTTTACACATAAAAATGCCGACAACAAAGAAATGTGACTATTTTTTATAATACCATCAAATATAGATATTATATAATATTAATAATCAATACTGTAATACCCTTTTAATTAAAACGATCGAAAAGAATTACGTTTTGAATACGACCAAAAAATAGTTGAAATTTGGCGACGACTGGCATTATCGTTATTCGTTATAATTTTCGGTGGCATTGCGTACCACGATGATCCTACTTCGTTTCGATTGTCGATGGCAACCTCACGGATACAATAGTCACGTCATTGCGAATTATCGATTTGAGCTCGGACAATGCGATTAGGATAATGCATCATGATGGACTCGCGCAACACTCAACAGACACACACACGAGAGGCTGATATTTTATTATTGTTATTAATGTTGTTGTTGCAATATTGTGTCCGGAGGGATTGCCAGACCATCGAGAAGTAGGAGGACAGGCGAAAGGGTCGAAAAGAGTATGAAAATCGCGTCAATGTTTGTACACAAACAAAACACATACCGGACGCGACCGCCTTCGTCATCTTCCTAACAACACACGTTCCGATATGCCGCCGTTGACGTAAATAGGGTCCGAGAATTCGTAGAACGCGAATCCGACAGGTTTCTTTTTTTAAGAAAAAAGATCATAAGCCACCTGGACGCGTCACGCCCGCACATCATCCCCATTTTACCATTCAGTGCGAACGTTTCACAGTACAAGGCAATAGCGTCGAACATTGAGAAACGTATTTTATCGTATCTTCGAGATAATGAGTTCCCTAATTTACGATTAAACAGTCGTTGGAGCACAGGTGCAAAAACGAGAAGTGGTTTTTAATATTCGTCTGGGGTTCAAAGTTTCCCGACACGCAAATAGAACAGTGGCTACTACTACTACTAGTGCTCATGACATGTAATCACAGACCGACGACACCCGTATAATTGGTATAATAACAATATATTATTATTGTGATATGATACACGTTAATACTTAATTTAATCTTATCGAACTCGTTAATAGATAAATTATGAAATATTAACATTTATCAACGTCCTGTTTACTACGAAAATATACATTGGTCGGCCGCTACCAGTAGACTATTATGGCATAGTAAGGTACGCCACCGTCGTCGAATAAAACTATGATCGAAACGAAACGATATTTTTGTAGATACCTTCATTCGTCCGTGACCGGCAAGAAATGATCAATTCTTAGGATATCTATTAATATAATCTCTAAAATATTAAAATGTATAAATGATTATCGTAGGACCCGTGATCAACGGACGACGGCGCGTAATCGCGGGGTTTCTTCAAGGACGAGGCCTCCGCGGTATCTCCGCCCCGTGAGTCCGCGAGAGATTTTAAGTTAAACTTGCGGTCGTCTAAAAAGTCAAACCATCGTTTTATCGGGGAAGAGTGGTGGAATGACCCGTTGGAATGTTTTCTCGAATTTGTCTAAAAACACGTCAGCACGTCTGTTTCAAAAATATTGTCATAGCGATTTTTCCACCCTCATCACCCGGGGCAGATCGAATTCATCTGCACCGTACATGTACCTACAACCTAACAAGTGCTTTTTGGGCTTTTGCCACCGTTACGAACGAAACGCGGCACCGATGACTTCAGTGAGACAACGGTTATTATACGAACAATATTTTATCATTCCAAACCGGTAGGTATAAGCATATCGTCGGACAGTAAAGACGATAATAATACGGATATGTATATACGACTACCTACTTATCGTGTAGTTAATTATATTATTGTACAATGTCACCACGAGTCTTGTGGAATTTACACTTACGTGATGTTATGACGGACGTCGGAAAACCCGATGGGCCCGCTGTTATCGGGTAAACGAAAACGGAACACTACTGGCGCACGCATACGTCAAAAGTCGTAACGACGACTACGGTCTAGATCGAACGCAACGATAAATGTCAGTGATGAAAAATTATGACTCGCGTCGTCTAAAAAAATTTTAAATAAAAAAAAAAACGAAAAAAAATCACCGACCCGGCGAACGAACGAACGGGCGGACGGACGCGGACGCACTAGTCGCGCTGAGTAACGAGGCACTCGCGCGGGGCGCGTACACGGCGAGACAACTCGTTATTATTCAGTCGTTACGGATAAAAACGGACGGAGGAACAGCGAAACAGGTACCCGATCGTTCAGCCTCTGCTGGTACTGGGTAGTGGGTACTGGTTCTGTCTATTCGCGTCTCGTCGTCGTCGTCGACGTGGCCAATCGATGCGATGGCGCGCGGTGACGACCCGTACCTTCTTGCGGACGGATTGGAGAGAGGCGGACGGTTGCCGAGTGGGAGTCGGTGGCGGCGGCGGCGGCGGTGTCGGTGCCTTCGAACGACGGTCTGCTGCGTCACCTGTTGTCGATTCTGGCACTAACGACGTGGACGCTGCGCGCGCGCGAGCGATCACGGTGTAACTACCGTCATGTACACACGGTATGATGACGATATTAATAATAATATAAAAACTACTGTAGGTATATCCTGCACGACCGGCGACCGGGACCGCTCCTGTACATCGCCGTGCCTGCGCCTGCCCACACGGTCGGCAGCTTCGGCGGCGGCGGCGGCGGAAGACGAAAGCAGAAGAAGCAGAAACGAAAAGTTATAACGAAATAGAAATCACGGTGGTGGTGTGGGTACGAGCGGCGAGCGCGTACGCTGCGGCGGCAGTTACGACGTCCACCGGCGCATAGATACCATGTGCAGTTTACAGTGCATCCACGTATAATATTATATATTTGGCACGATACAGCGTACACAACCATACTGCCATATATATATATATGATATAGATATATATTATTGTATGCTTGGCGAGTTATCCCACATGGGTGTACGGCGTTTGTTGGTTAATTTGTTATTGTGATGATGTTTGTATTTTAATAACGCTCGTAACCTCCGTCGCAGCCGACTTGTGCGTGCGACCGAGGTGTGTTTGACACAACAACGACATTATCGTATAACTGTCCCAGTGTAACACACGTGATAACACTCATAATATGTCCGGCAGACCGCGGGTGTCTAGCTCATGCGGCATGCCTAATCAGCGACGTGCAGTGGAACCCAAATCCGGCGCATGGGTACCGCGTCAAAGTACGCGCGTCGGTATGGCAAACGACGTTCAAACGTGAATAACATAATAATAATAATATAATATTATATGAGTAAGAATACGACGGGCGGTCTGAATGAAGAGATAATTTATCTATTTATAATAATATTATCTATCTAATTTATTTATGCGTACGAGTTCACCACCGCACGTCGTAATACAAACATAATTAGTCAGTATAGCTTATGCATATTTTGAGGTTACTAATAAAAACAATTCTGAT